GGTCAGGTGACTGTGGAGGCCAGGCCATCTGGCGTAGCACTCCATCACTCTCCTTCTTGGTCAAATAGCCCTGACACAGCATGGAGGTGTGTTTGGGCTCATTGTCCTATTGATGTAGAGATGTGTCTGCTACTGGAACTCTGTGTGGTGTTTATCTGGGCTCTAATCTGAGGTGTTGTTAACTTGCTATTTCTGAGACTGAGAACTTGGATGAATTTATTCTCAGCAGCAGAGGTGACTCTTGGTCTTCCTTTACTGGGGCGGTCCTCATGGGAGCCAGTTTCATCATAACGCTTGATGGTTTATGCCATGAATTCTAGCAGTTGTCAAATAGAGCTATCAGCTGTGTACCAACCTGACTTCTGCACAACACAACTGATGGTCCCAACCACATTAAGAAGGCAAGAAATTCCACTGATGAACCCTGACTGGCCCACCTGTGAAGTGAAACCACTTCAGGTGACGACGTCATGAAGCTCATTGAGAGAAGTCCAAGGGTTTGCAGCACTGTCAACAAAGCAAAGGGTGGAATCTAAAGTATAAAACATACTTACAGTTATTTATAATTTTTTTCTTTGCTATATGATTCCATATATCTTGCTTCATATATTTGAAGTATGCATCTACAGTGACGTCATTGGGGTTACACGAGCTCCGCGGACTTCATTCTGTGCTCCAACAGACTCGACAACATCTTGTCCTCTAAAGAGGTTAAAAATAAATATGCAAACTCATTAAGGAAACAAAGATAACCCTTCCTGCTACAGGTGAACTGCTGTATATGTTTAACAGCTCCACTGATTTGGAGAATTCTGTTTCCTGGACAGATTTATCACACAGGTTCCTGTGCTTGGTCAAAGATGACTTCATTCAATTTCTAAATAAATTAATGAATAGTTAAAGCAAACTGGCTGCATACGACCACAGTGCACGTCTTACAGTATGTTTTCATTATTCCAATTATTTGGACAAGATCTCCAACACCACTGGCTGAAATGCAACACAAACTATGATAAAGCCGTGTTTTATGGATGACAGCAGACACTCAGTGCTGTATCTCTTTCCTGACCTCCTACATGTAAACTAACAGCAATTTCAACCAGAATTGTTATATTTGGAGTCCAGTGCTTTTATAATATACCACACCTCAGATTTTTATTTTACCCGTATTCCTCCTGTTCTGATGAGGCTTCAGTAAACAGCAGGCCAAACAACTTAACTCAAGGTTCATTCTTTGAGTTAGGTGGCTTTTTTAATGGTTGAATGATTCACAGGTCAGTGTTTAGTCTGTCATAGGTCAGTGTGGCTTAATAAGCAAAGCAAACATTCCTCAGAAAATAGTGAGGTACAAGGACTGGACTGAGTGAAACAGCCGCCACTGTCCAAAGAAAAGCTTTGAAATGTAAAGGTGGGGAACTGTGTCTCAGCTCTGGCTCATTGAAAGCAAAATAGAAAGAAATGAGGGTGACTCAAGAGTTTTGCACAAAAATCTCTTAATGACATTAAAGTCTAACTTATAAAGTGAAGTGGTTTGTGTGCTGTCAGCACATTCCATCTGGAAAGTTTTTTTTT